AATCTTTCTCCTTGATTTCGGCTGAGAAGACCAGTCAAATCTTGATGGCACAGATCCCCCCTTCAGCATTCGCCGTCCTGCATTATCAGGTGCAAGATAGTCCTCTTCACTAAAATGTCTAGAGCATACTCTGGTACCATTGGAAATCTAACAACACAAACGAGACAGAAAGTCAATTTCCGAACAAAAAAAAACAACAAATAATTCTATAAAGTCGAAGTCTTTACCTTGAAACTTGGCCCTTCGTCTCTACGAATTTTTACAAGCCATTTCTTTCTGATTTCTTAGTCACTTGGTCTACTAGGTATTCTGTGAAATGTCAGCTCAGTGTTGTACCGAGAATCTCCAGTGCAACGAGGAACACAACAGTGAAAGCTTGTTGTCCTTCGACGAACAGCAGTTATATCAGGATTACCTTCGGAAAGAGTAAGAGAGATAAAGTGATATAGACGCTTCGCGTGCTTTATGTAGCATGAGTATACTATCTCTTTATGCACAAAATTTGTTCCCTTATCGGGTTGTAAAGATCTTGAAACTTGTATAAATCTTTTTAGATTATATAAAGAGTACATTGCAGTAATTTCCGATCATTACACGCAATAAAACTAGCTTTATAGGTGTTTTTTTTATCTACACATACCTTGACTGGCCGCCATTTTGTCTGGCTGTGGCGGTAAGCGTCGGCCGTAAAAAAGTCCAAAACGGCAGTTAAAATCCGCACTTCAGCCTAAATGAACTCCAAAACTATAGTTCACGAAGGTTATAACCAAGAACGGCAGATAACAGAGGGAATTAATCTTTTATAAAGCTCTAAGAACTGTTTGAAACCACACGTGCGTGTCCTCTCTTGACCTTTTGTTTACTGGAATGCTTGCAGTCCAGCATGGCGTTGCAATGGGGTTTCTAAGCACGTGATCTCTAGCTGCAAAAGGCCTATTGGTCACGATGACAATAAAGTGTTTGGAACTGTGGTCATGTTTCAACAAAACAACATTCAGACATGATGTACATACTGAACGTGACAGGAAAAAAAAAACACAGAAAGTTTTTGCATTTTATGAACGTCCCAGGCCTCAAGGCCGCCTGGGACGTTAAAAAAGACTTGATGATATCTGTTCAATGGCACAGCGGCTGTGCCACTGAAACAAATAATGCATGTATGTCCATTTTTTTGCATATTGATCTGTAGAACAGACTGTATTAAATTACTACTTTTTAATTAACAGTTTCTCCATTATTGAACTCAAATCATTTATTTTTGTATTTGCTCCTAAACAGTTGTTTGCTCTTGTATGAATATACACCTAATTGAAGAAACGTTGTCGGGTCCAAAAAGGTCAAATCATAGAAGCTAAGACCGAAAGGGTACTTGGGAAGACAAACAATTTGCCTAATTTCATAACAAACAGCTCTCCAGCATAAAATACTATCATGCTGTTAATCTTACTAGCTCTACWTGCTTAGTGTACACCGTATATGCAAATGTAATCCCAATTCARAATCCCTTTCGGTCTTAGCTTCTATGATGTGACCTTTTCGAACACGACTACGYTTTTTCAATTAGGTGTATACGTTTTATTGTGGTCTATATAACAAATGAGATAATGTTATTGTTAGTGCTCTAAAGACTCCAAAATGTCAGCGTAGGTTATTTGAAAAGTACATYTAACAAAAAGTTGCATTTAGTTTTGCAGTGAAACTGACGGTCCAAGTCTTGAAGACCTTAAGAAGTATTTTTAGCAAAGAGTGGTACCATTCTTTAATAAGTACATGCTMCTGGTGACTGTACCAACTGAAGAAGACGTGAGGGCTGATATAGTTCGGCTATGCCTGGCAGACCCAAAGGGGGTGTATTTTTTGATATTTCATTTTAAAAATTGCTATKAGATCAAGTTATGTAGACATTGGTTAATATTTAGGTCCCTGGGAACAAAGACAGGGTTTGCTGATTTCCTAATGTAGTGTTGATTTTTTCTGTTTAAAAGGCCAGCATCTGCCTGAATCCCTCTGTAACTTGTAGCGAGGTCAAAAAAGAATGTGTTGCAATTGCATGTGCCGAGTATCTAAAATGCACACAGATGAACATTACAGATACTCATCTTAGGACAGCTTTGGGGAAGGTTGTATGTTCTTCCTTTGGGTGTCACAAGAAACATCAAGCACATTTCCTGCACAGTGAATCAAAGGTTATTATATATTTTTGTTTAATTTTTGGTAGTATATTAATATGTGGTATAAAGGTTCCAGTAATTGATCAAGATTTCATGTCAGCATCCACAGCCACCACAAACCAGAACATGCAGTCCAATCATCTCAAAAATAAAAAAATGTACTGCATTTTTGACACATCTTTGAAAACTACAACACTCTACATCTAAAGGTCAATCACCAAGATTMTTGGAGAAGTGCAAGATAAGAAAAATAAATGTTCTTGTTACAGGTGGTTGTCTGGCAATGACAATTTTGAGATGATGCGTCATTGTCACRTCTGCTCATGTACATTAGCTATTAATGAGTTTTCTAATTAAGGGTGACAGCTACACTATACAATTGAACACATTGTGCTAACCACAATGCACCCAATATTTTGAATGTATTATACATTTTAAAAACAGAATTTTTAATGAACATTTTAAGGTGGTTGACACTGAAAATGTTTGTTTATCCAAGGTGGCAAAATGTGGAAGAATTCTGTTCAAGCAGAAAGGTGAAGACAAAAATGTGAAGCTGTGAGGCCTCACACTTTGACACGGTAAGTATTAAACTACGATTTATTTTGCCTAATACCATTTTTTATTCAATTACGAGATATTTGTAACCAATCGAAGACTGTGAGACTCAGAAGTTTCATTTTAATTCGATTGTCATTACTTTATAGAACTTCCCAAACGCTCCATTATTGTTCAGGTGGTAAGTTGAATTGAACAACATTTAAAGCATGTTTTTTACTTTGATCTTTTTTACTGTTTTCTTGATGGCAGATTTGCTTTTCTTTCAGGGGAATGCTTTTAGGGAGAGCGTTACTTTATCTCTGCAACGCATTCTTTCAGTTGATTATGCAAAACTGTAAGTCATGTTTGTCTTTTTTTGAAATTTTGGTTTGCGGAGATCTTATAATCTTACAGTTTTCCTTTTTTTATTTCAGTTTTCATAGTTTCGTAGTAGCACTAGAGATAATAAAACTTTAAAAAATACGATATACTTTTTTAATCTTAACATGTTTCAGTATTACATTATGCCATCCTCAGAAGAATGAGAATAAAAGTCGTTACAAATGATTATATAGTCTAAGTACAAATGATTGACATGTAATATAATATGAACTAAATGAACTAACGTGAAGTGTATTATATTATAGGCGTTATGTAGATGATACTATTTGTCTTTTTCATAGTGAAAATTACGCTATGTCATTTCTTAAGTATCTTAACTCTAGACATGACAGCATAAATTTTACGTTTGAAAAAGAGGTCAACGGGAAGTTATCTTTCCTTGATGTCTTAATAGATAATTCTCAAGATAAATGTACAACGTCGGTTTTTCATAAAAAAACATACACGGGCCTTCTWACTAATTTTTTAAGTTTTACTCCTTTTAGGTATAAAATCGGTCTAGTTAAAACACTAACTGACAGGATTTTTAAAATTAACAACACTAAGAATGGCTTTGAAACGGACATAAATAAACTGACACAAACACTTAAACGTAACTCTTTTCCGGCTCATATCATAGACAACGCGGTTAATCAACAAATTAGCAATGCTAAAAATGTCGCTAACAATGTCTCAAAGGAAACTTCTGTCGAAGTTCGTTATTTTAAACTACCATACATTGGTAACTTTTCTAAAATAACTAATTTTAAAATTAAAAAACTATGTAAACTTTTTTGTCCGGAATTTAACCTTAAACTTGTTTTTACTTCATTTAAAATCAAACAACTTTTTNGAAAATGCCATGAATGCATGAAAGAAACTAAAACATTATACTGCACATTATACAGATATTTCCTCTTTCATTTTTGTGGCTAGTGCCTAAGAGTCGCTAGCCATAATGTCATCACTCTGAGTGAGTGTAATTCAGGAATAGCTAGTATTCCATTTGGTTCTTCTCGGGATAAGCTTGTATTTCCACTCGGTTCTCCTCTCGTTAGCAGTTGAAACAAAATGGCGGACAGATGGCAGAAAAAAGTTGTCTCATTTTAAATGGCTCTAAAATGTAGCTAAAACGCTCAAAAGAGCTGAAAATTATATGCACAATTTACAGAAAGTGTTTTTTTAAGGATTTGCGAAACTGTTAAGAAAAAAATATATATATTGAGACACATTACCAAGGCCACAATGACAAAGCTTCATTAATGACAAAACCAAACATTTTCGCTACAAATACTGCATTTAATTAAAAAAATCCTGCTATAAGTATAAGGCACTAGCCACATACAGTCTTTGACTGTGTATTTTTTTGTAAGTCTCACTGCCAAGCTTTTTTATATATTGATGCTGCTAGAGTTATTGTGAATTCATTATCCCACTGCCAAGCCACCAAGCCACTAAATGAAATACTGCTAGACACATTAATTCATTTTCTCGTTCTTTATAAGTCCCACTGCCGAGCCGGCGAGCCACTAAATAGGCATTATGAATTCATTTCTCATTCTTTATAAGTCCCACTGCCGAGCCGCCGAGCCACTAAATAAAATACTATTTATTTTATACATACTGAGATTTTCTTGTACAATCTTACTATATGAAAACTTGTTTCGCGCTGCTTTTTGGCCAATCAGTGACGCGAAGCAACTTTTTCACACGTGAAGAAAACGTTTCAACCTATCACAAAGCGAACCGGTAGCTTTGCATCCAGATAGTGTAACTTGTTCGCCATCTCTCAATCATCAAAAATGACTAGTGGTAATGGTAGTAGATTTGCGTCCCTTGATAAAAGCATTGACTCATTTCAGAGTATTCTCAGACTTTGTAAAAAAGACTTTACGCACGAGTTAGACTTGTATCTGAAATCTCACTCGTTCGCTACGCTCACTCGTTCGGTTTCTGATACAGCCTACAGTACCGGTCTCGAGTAAAGTACCATCCACTTGCTCTATACTCGAGAGTGAGATTATCGAGTGACCATCGTCACTTGCGAGTCATCACAAACTATTCATAAAAGCGAGTGTAATCGAGTGGCTTCCACTCGAAAGACTTTCGAGTGTCGAGTGTAGTTACGAACAATTTCTGTTGAACTGGACGATTAATGAAAATTCAAAATTTAAATTCTAATCAGTCGCTTTTATATTAGCGAATGATCGGCAAGATGTCAATTCAATGCTATATAAATTTAGGTTACACGACAATGTCACGCCGTCTCGTCATACTGTCTCGTCATTCCGCTGTCTAGATAGGCAGTGTTAAAGGAACAGTCAACACCCAAATTTTGTTAATTCTCAATGAAAATATACCTATCTAGAAACAAATTTATGATATTTTGAATAGCTGCCGGCCTTTTGTTTACCTGAAATAAAAATCTTAAAGTCGCAAACCCATATGTATGAAGGGCGCCATATTGAAATTATGGTAATTTCCTGTGACGTCGCATAGTCAATTCCTCAAGGGAAACCCATGTGCTGACCTCTGCGAAGTTTGACATGTAGTTCATTTTAATCCTTTTTTATCGTCTTTTGGTTCGAAATGCCTAACTGTTGTGTACCTGGGTGCACAAACTATT